TTTTTTTTCTGTCAATTTTGAAAGAAAATCCTTTTGAAAGTTAATCGAGTTGTCAAGTTTGATAGTTGCACAAATATTGACAAACTTTTCACTTACGAAACATTGCTAGTGAGATTAAAGTCTATAATAACACGTTTGACTTTAGCGAATCACATCAATAATAACAAAAACCTGTTCACAGAACTTTCGTTCAATATTCATCAATGACAACTTCATAGGTTCATCTCCTTTCTCCTCGTATCTTTCCGAGTTAAGTGAACAATAATTGAAAATTTTTTAATTTATTCGTAATAATATTGAGACCTAAATTTCATTATTAGATATTATGTAAACAACTAATATCTAACAGATTATGAGACATCAGTCATAAATTATAGAAATTTGCAAGAAAAACGAGAAAAATCTGTTCCATCCTTCATTTCGAATAGAATACTGAGATTTGTTTTAAATCTATTTTAAATCAATTTCTGCCTATTGACAAGTAACTTACATTTAGCGTTCGATATCAACGAAAAAAATATACAACTAGTCATTATATAGAATGATATCTTGTGTACGAAGAAGAGAATAATTTATATTCGAGCTTGTTAATTCTAAAAAAGACTGTAATTTTATTTAAATCATTGAATAATCGATATCGTTTAAATAGTAGCATTTTTGAAAGTTATGATTTCAATAATCTAATAGACAACATAATTTCGATATTTTTAATACGTATTTCTCTTTGAATTACAGCTATTTGTATTCCTCAGTGTACTTCAAAAATATGATAAAATCAAGGGAATAAGTTAATATATCTTTTTGTGAACATTTTCATAATATATTTTTTATATTTCATTTTATAATTATCTAGTCAAACAGTTGATTAAAAAAAAACGTTCAAGATAATTAAAGTCTTGACTAAGATTATATAATTAAGATACGTTATGAAAATGGTCAAAAAAACGAAATGATATTTTATATTGTGCACTTAATTTCATCTAACATTGACCAAAAAATAGAAATGACTCTAATTGATGCGTTAAGTACATTCATGTTTTTAAATTCAATAGAGTTTTCAGCGATAGATCCAGTACGATTTACACTAAGGAAAAACGATCAGCTGAAAAAGCTAAGTGTCCTTCTATACAACACTATTTAGTTTGTTTTAAGTCTGAGGAACATTCAAATATTTTTAGTTTAGTTTTGTGAGAGTATATTCGAAAATAGTGTAAGAGTATTTATATAAAATATTTGAGATAATCCCAAAAGATATCCAGAGAACATACTAAAGTATGCGTTTGTGGGTGTGGGTGTGGATGTGGGTGTGGGAGTAGTCTTCTCTGTCTTATTGCCCCCACCCACCCCACACCCACACACACCCTTTTGAATTTTTAGGTTTCTCTATATGATCTTTCGTTTGCGCTAAAAAAAAATCAGAAAAAAATTCACCGGCGGCCTGCTTGGTCGGTGGTCTGGCGGACCCTCTCTTAAAGATTTCTTTAGTCTCTAATTTTGAGAATAACTTCTAAATAAAATTCTACTATCAGAAAATTCTCATGTTCCTCATGAAGATAAATAATATTTTCGTAAATGAATAATATTGATTGAAAAATACTCAAGTTTTACATTCATCCATTGATTCCAATACGAATCCATTCGATCGTATTTTATGATAGCAACATTAATTTTTATGTATGCATATTAGATAAACAAACTGATTTATATTTTGTTGCACAAATGTCATATGACTATTTTATTCCTATCCGTCAGCAACGAGTATTTTTTTGAGTATTCATAACTTAAAAAATTTCTACAATATAGAGCAAAGTCTCGTCGTCCGTCAAAATGGAGCATCATCCTCGTTTATACAACGTGTGAAAATAGATAAAGAAATAAGGTCTTTTGTTTATGATGTTTAATGTTTATCATAGAACTTAGAGAGTTATTAGAAACAGATAAAATCTAAATAAGACTTTCTGGCAAATCTTGCACTATAAGATTTTAATAAATATTTCACTCTTTTAAAATGTTTCTCTATAGATTAATCTTGTCTAAATTTTGTTTCATCACATAAAATAAGTTCCAGTTGGACAGGTCACCAACTTCGCACTTTAAACATTGTTCAGTCAAGATTTTATATTAGTTCATCAACATTCAAAATGAATTGAATCAGTATTTTATTCTAAATATCTAATTATTCATAAAAAATTATTCGATTTCTATCAAATTCTCAATACAAAATATCCATAGCAGATGAGTTTAGAAGGGTGTGGCTGGGTGGAAATGCATACATGATTGAGATTATAGTTGTGTGTTCTTCATTACTATTCATATAAATCATGAAATGATTATTCAGGAACAAAAAAAAAACCTTCCTTCTTGTTTAAAAGTTTAAAGAAGATGAACGTCTTTGAAATCTTCATTTATATTCAAACTCGAAATAGGCATCTACTGATGGATTTATCAGTAACGTTTTCAAAAAGTGAATCGAACAACATCTTTTTATATAAATTACACATTTATCTATGATTTTTAAGATAGTGATAGTTCCTTCATCATTCTATCAATCATATGACGTCTGACCAATATAATTAAATTATTCTTAAGTTGTTATAGTATAAGGTTCATCATCATTATTTACACATTCACAGCTATTTTCAGTTTAGATTGATTCTATTCACTATAATAGGGTTGCACATGAGTAGTAACTACATGAAATCTGTCATAAAAGAAACTATCATGAGGTTGTGAATGTTTGATTTATTTTCAGACATGTACATCCTCAAGATTTGTTGAATACAAGAAAAAAGAATATTATTTTTATTTAAAATTCACACTTCGAAAAATTCTGTTGATATTCGAATTCGGCTTAGAACACGACGATAGAGAAAGATAAATAATGAATACTGCGAAACAAAACTAACAAATTCTTGCCAGTTATTTAAGAATCATTTCTTGATTGTTTGCATTTTATATAAGAATTATTTTTTAAATTAATTTTATTCTAAAGATAGATGACAATAAAAAGAAAAATACTAATATAAATAAAATTTAAGATTGTTGACGAATGTTTTCTAATAATAATTCCAATTGTTTAATGTCGTTGCTAAGTAAATCAAGAAGACGTTTGCGAGCTTTTTCTACTACTCCATGCCACATTACTGAAAATTTGTTGTATTGTGTTTCAAGTACTACTATAATGATAACTGTAATCAACATTTCTTGATTCGTATTTGATGAAAAACTTGATAGGGATTTTCCAATAAGTTTTTCAACATTTTCAGCAGTTAAATCCCATAAACCATCAAATTTTTGTTTCTTGATCAAGTAGCGAACAATGTTTTCGTCATCTTTTGGCCATTCTTCATCTTTTTCATAAGTAATAGTACTCGTTTTAGGGCGAATTATTGAAAGGCACTTTTGGTAACTAACTATGGGTATAATACAAGGGGGAAAAGGCGAGACTCCGGGAGTGCGTACTCCGCTTGTACTCCGCCTGTACTCCATTGTACTCCGCCTGTACTCCGCTCGTACTCCTGGAGTACTGGAGTCTCGCTTTTTTCCCCTTGGTATAATAGCATCCTGCTCCATACAGACCTTTGAAGAATTGCGCATTTTAATTTTTTTTATGGGAGAAGAGTCATTTACAGTAGCCATCTGTATTGGTATTGACGTCTTACACCCTGCATTCGAAGCAGCTGACCTCGCACTATTAACAAATCTCATAAAACCAGAGGTTAGTAGATGTTGATCATCAGTGGATATTTCAATGGGTATTTCGCGTAAGACCATATGAACATTGTTACCATTTATTCGTTTTTCAACACCGATAAAAGCCGTGTGTGGACTCAAAATTCGATATTTAAGTGAAAGATCAATGATGCGTTTCTTTCTGATTTCTTTTTCATCTGTCATAGTTTTGGTTGTTAACGATGACAAAAATTGTTTAAATCGAGATTGTAGTGAACCTGTAATATTTTTCTCAAGTTTAGAATGTTGCAATTCGAGAATGAGTGCTTTAGCAGCAAGTCGAGCTATTGTTTCATCAATGGCCACTTTTGGTACTGAATCAATTTTTGCTTGGGATAATTGACATTGATCAGTATACAGTTTAACATTTGAATTATGATCAAAAACAAACTTTGAATCATTGACAAGTGCATAAGCAATCAGACGATCATTTACATATACAGCTGGTATTTTTGTTGGTGCATTCATCACTTCAGTGCGCAAATTCCATTTAATATGAATGTTTGTAATAGAAGATTGTAAAGCCTTTTGTAATTGCTCACCAACGTAAACATCAACATTACTTTTTGGTGGAATAAAAACAAAACGTCCATTTGTTGCTCGAGCAAGACCTTTAATAAGTTAACGGCTTGGTGAATAACCCAACCCGAATGAAAAGATTCTTGTATGTGTAGCCATCGAACAACATAAATCAATTACGTCATTGACATTTTATATTTCTCCATCGGTTAACAAAAATATTTGTCTTGTACGACCTTGCTCTGGAGAATGTTGTTCTAACCATTGGAGAGGACATAACTAGAATAAAAATAAATAATTAGTGTTCTAAGCTAAAACCCATTAAACGAACAAAACTAACTAATTCGGTACCATCCATATTGGCTCGCAAATTATTAATAAGTTGTTCAGCTTTTTGAGCATTTTGTTCATCATAAACAGCAGTAATTTCTTTAAATAAAGCTTCACAATATGATCCAAATCGAATGATATTAAAATAACAATTAATTGGTAAATTCTTCAGAAAAAGTAATATAGCTTCCCGTGCTAATCCAATTTTATTCTCATCTGCCATTGATCCACTACAATCAACAACAAAAATAAATTCATTTGTTGTCTCTGTTTTGTTCATTGCACGTTGACAATCCTGTTCGGTTGGTATAAATGAAACCATAACAGCACCTTGTTCGATTGTACCAATGGTATTCGAATGATTATCGACTAATTCAATATCTATTAAAATATCTCGATCTAAATGAGTATTTGACTGAGCAAATTCAATAATATAGAAATTCTCTTGACCAAAATCAATCTGAATTGGATGAGAACTTGAACTAATACGAGAAACATTAACTTTTTCCACTTGACAATGAAAATCTATTGTATATGGAGCTGTTTGAACATATTTCGATGTAGTACGAGAAGGTGAACTAATGCCACCTATATTTGGATTATAACGAGGTGCAATTGTTGTTGGAATAACAAAACGAATTTTACTTCCATTTTGCACAAGATCCAATTCAGAAACATATGATATAGATATGTGACATTCTTTTCCTGATAATAATGCACCAATATTAATTATAAAAATATCTTGAGATTTTTCATCTTGTTCAAGTAAATATGCACCATGGCCTTGTCGAAGAGCAGGGTGTGGGTGTGGGTGTGGGTGTGGGTGTGGGTGTGGGTGTGGGTGTGGGTGTGGGTGTGGGTGTGGGTGTGGGTGTGGGTGTG